GGGCCCTTGAGCTCAGGGCCAGTGTGGGCGAGGGGACAGCCAGGGAGCGGCTCTCACTCTTTGCCCAACTTCCTCAGTTCCCACTCACCCTCGAGTGCTGCCAGCTGACTTCTGCCCCCACCACTCCATTGAACTTGCTCTTGCCCAAGTCAACAATGGCCTCCCAGTTGCCAAATGGGGCTCCCACTTCCTAGATCTGCTCCTGTTTGATCTCCTGGGAGCCCCCGGCACCCCTGGCCCACTTTGTCCTTCTGGAAGCTCTCTTCTGACTTCTCGATGCATGTTCTGATTTCCCTCGCACCCCCCTGGCTGTGGCTTCTGGGCTCCTTTGGAATCTCCTCCATCTGCTGTCACCCTGGCCTTGGTCCTCAGCCCCAGGCCCCAGGTGTACTCTCCTTGGTTGATTGTACCATGTCCTTAGCTTCAGGTGTCTGGCAGACACCTAAGGTCCTTATTCACCTTTGTCTTGGTGGGAGGGGCGTGGTAGCCACTAAGGTTTGTTTGGCACCTACTGTGTGCGAGGGAATGAGTAGACCTTTACTATGCAGGCCTCACAGTAGCTGTGTGAACAAGTTATTGTTATTCCCCTTTTGCAGATGAGGAAACTGAGGCTCAGAGAGGTTAAGTTACTTTCTCAAAGTCCCAGCTAGTAAGTAGTGAACCAGGATTCCAGCCAGGTCTGTCTGATTCTAAAGCCCAGGTTTCTCCTGCTGTGCCCGCCACCTCCCCAGCAAGGCTGGGAGGCTGACTCCAGGGTGGGCTGCCACCTCCCCTGTTCTTCCCCAGCGTTTCTGGCTGCTCCTCCTGACCCGGGGCCTGGTGGGGGTCGGGGAGGCCAGTTACTCCACCATCGCGCCCACTCTCATCGCTGACCTGTTTGTGGCCGACCAGCGGAGTCGCATGCTCAGCGTGTTCTACTTTGCCATCCCAGTGGGCAGGTGAGCTGGCCTTGGGCCTGGTGAGGGGCAGAGGGCCGAGGTGTGGGGCTCGACTGACTGGCTGTCCCTTTTTCCCTCCTTTCCCCTAGTGGTCTGGGTTATATCGCAGGCTCCAAAGTGAAGGATGTGGCTGGGGACTGGCACTGGGCTCTGAGGGTGAGTTCGGTCATGTCCTGGAGGGAGGTCAGGGACATTCTCACTGAGCCCCCTTTCTGCCCTTCAGACACCTCCTTCTGTGGCAGTGCTCACTCTCTGAGCCTGCAGGAAACCTGGTGCCCTCACCATGAAGCCATGTGCTTGTGGGTATCAGAGCCCATGTAAAACTGTAGGCCCTAGAAAGTGGCTGCATTTGCTTTTAGCTTTTATAGTGGAAAGCCCCAGGGTGAGCATCAGGTAAAGCTGGATCCAGGGCTCCCACACTGTCAAAGGAAGGAGATCATTCTGTGTTTAGCTTCCTGTCCTTGATGCTAGCTTCATCTTCAGGTGTGTGAAACTCTAAATGATTCTCTTTCACCTGAGCAACCTGGGTATGTTGGATCCTTGGGCAATAATCCTGGTGGTGATGATATGTGGTTCACAGGCCTCCCATGAAATCAGCCACCAGCATTGGGGGTTAGTGGTGCTAATTTTGGCCAAGTCTGAGATGCTGTTTGAACCACGTAGATTGACAGCAGTGTGTGTGGGGGGTGCTTTCTCAAAAGAAAACTAGGGTTCTGTTATCAAAGGAAGCAAAGTTAGCCTTGCAGAAATAAGGTGGCCCCCAGTGACACCCCCCATTTCTCAAATGGGGGCTTGGCTTCCTTGAGCCGACACCCGAGGGTCTTCTCCGCTGTCACTCTCCCCCAGCCCAGAGATTGAGTGTGTCCTGCCCTGTGCCCTTTCCTGAATCCTGCTGTTTCCCCAGGTGACACCAGGTCTAGGAGTGGTGGCTGTCCTGCTGCTGTTCCTGGTAGTACGGGAGCCACCACGGGGAGCTGTGGAACGTCACTCAGATTCGCCACCCCTGAACCCCACCTCGTGGTGGGCAGATCTGAGGGCTCTGGCAAGAAAGTGAGTTCAATCCCTTCCCAGTCCAGCATCTGAGGCCCCGGCATCTATGGAGGCTGAAGCGGGCCCGGACTTAGTTGTCTGCCAGTTGCCCAGTAGTGACTAGGACAGTCCCGTTGCTACTGCCCCCTTGTGTCAGCGTCCTGAATCGCAGGCCAGGACCAGCGGGCTAGCCTCCACTCCCAGGGTTCTGACTTCAAAAATTAAGCCAGGAGGGGAGAAGGGTGGTCCCTTCCTACCGGGACCGCTGCAGGACCTGACCCCTCCCTCCCCCGTGTCCGCAGTCCCAGTTTCACCCTGTCTTCCCTGGGCTTCACTGCCGTGGCCTTTGTCACGGGCTCCCTGGCGCTCTGGGCGCCCGCCTTCCTGCTGCGTTCCCGTGTGGTCCTGGGGGAGACTCCCCCCTGCCTCCCTGGAGACTCCTGCTCTTCCTCTGACAGGTACCCAGATGGGGCGGGCGGGCGGGGCCGCCTGAGGGTGGCAGGGGTGGAGAGCCTGGGATTCGGGATCGGGCAGGAGGCTGAAGCCTGGCTCTGTGGCAGAGTCTCAGTCTCAGGGTCCGGGACACGTGGCGGGATAGCATCTCCTCTCAGGGGTCCGTGGACCGTGGGTGCTTTTCCTGAATAGACCTGGGTGCAAGGGTGGCTGGGATGAACCATCTTCCCCCCCCAGGCCAGGGGGACCCGGCGGGGCCCTTGCAGGCTGAGGGTCTAGTCCCCACGCCCCACCCCCACCCCCTAGTCTCATCTTCGGGCTCATCACCTGCTTGACCGGGGTCCTGGGTGTGGGCCTGGGCGTGGAGATCAGCCGCCGCCTCCGCCGCTCCAATCCTCGGGCCGACCCTCTGGTCTGCGCCGCTGGCCTCCTGGGCTCTGCACCCTTCCTCTTCCTGTCCCTCGCCTGTGCCCGTGGTAGCATCGTGGCCACCTACGTAAGTAGCTAGCAGGGGTCAAGGGGACGTTCTGGGTTCAGGGTGGAGGAACTGGGGTCAGCCAGCAGAGTGGTTCAGAGCCTACTCAAAGCGGAATGCCTGGTTTCAAATCCCATCTCTGGTCTTTCCCATCTGTGTGACATTGAGCAAGTAGCTTAACCTGTCTGTGCTCAGTTTTTTTAATCTGTAACATGGGACCTGCCTCACAGAGGTGTGGTGAGAAGGGGTTAGTGAATGAGCCTGGTATGTAGTAGACCCTTCTTATTGTGAGACCCCCACCCCTCCCACCCCTCAGATTTTCATCTTTATTGGGGAGACCCTGCTGTCTATGAACTGGGCCATTGTGGCTGACATTCTGCTGGTGAGTAGCTGGCAGCTCCAGGGTGAGCCTAGAGGCTGATGGGAGCAGGGATTGGGGTCAGGGGACATCGCTGGCTCTGAATCGTGGCCTTTCCTCCTTTAAAACCCAACCCCCCATTAACCTCTGGATGCAGCCCCGGGGTGCCTGTAGTCCTGGCCTGGTCTTAACCTTGGGCCCAGACTGAGCCTTGGCCCTGGCCTGGCCCCTGCCTCTTGCCCTGGAGCCCCCCTGAGTCCCACTCCTCCCCCAGTACGTGGTGATTCCCACTCGACGCTCCACTGCCGAGGCATTCCAGATTGTGCTGTCCCACCTGCTGGGCGACGCGGGGAGCCCCTACCTCATTGGCCTGGTGAGCCCCTGGGCTGGGACGGGGTGGGGGACAGGCCCTCACTTGCAGCACTAGCTGGTGGCCTGAGCCGGGGCGGGCGGCGCACTCGTCCCCGTTAGGCACCTCTGCCTGGTGTCTCTCCTACCTCCCCTCCAATGCCGGGAGCTCTGGGCTCGCCCGGGGTCCAACCTCCTTCCCTTCCTCGGGCTCCATGTTCCTTTTCCCTGATGTCCAGGGGTCCCCGTCCCCGGCTCCTGCCTGGCTCCCTCCAACTCCTTCTCCTCCTTGCAGATCTCTGACCGCCTCCGTCGGAGCTGGCCGCCCTCCTTCCTGTCCGAGTTTCGGGCCCTGCAGCTGTCCCTCATGCTCTGTGCCTTTGTGGGGGCGCTGGGCGGTGCAGCCTTCCTGGGCACCGCCATCTTCATCGAGGGTGACCGCCAGCGGGCCCAGCTGCATGCGCAGGGTCAGTGCGGCCTGCTGTGGCCACCGTCACAGTACCGTGTGTCTGTCTGTCCAGGCCTGTGTGCCCGGCATCTCCCAGTCTTCCTCTGTCCCCCCTTCAGTTTTGGGTCTGTCTGTCCCGCACGCTGATCCCTGTCTGTGTCTGTGGTTCCTGCTGCTGCTCCTTCTGTGTCCCATGCCCGTCTGTCCCCCCACTGGCTCTGCCTGTTTCTTCATCCCTGGCTCTGACCCCTCCCCACAGGGCTCCTGCCCGAGGCCGGGTCCACGGACGACCGCATTGTGGTTCCCCAGCGAGGCCGCTCCACCCGGGTCCCGGTGTCCAGCGTGCTCATCTGAAGCTGTGTCACTTTGTCACTCGTCTGTCTGCAGATCTGCTGCAGCTGGCCCTGGGCCACCCCACAGGGTTCCCTGGTCCCAGACCCTTGACCTGGCCCATTTCAGGAGGAGACCCCGGGCTGTGTCCCCGCTCCCTGACACTACATGGGCATCACAGAGGAGGATAGGGTCTGGGAGGGGACATCCCCTCTGCCCGGTGGCCCCGGGGCTTGGTGCTATTTGTAATGGGAATAAAATTTGTAGCCAGACCGCACGTGCCTGCTGGAGTCTCTCTGGGTGCTAGTAGCCTCCGACCTCTGGCTGTGGGGATGCCCCATCTCCAGCCTCAGTGCTCCTGGGAACTGTGCGGTCACTCCTGTGGGGAGTCCCTGTCTTCTGGGCTGGGTGACCCCGAGGGAGGACTGCTCTCTGAGCTGGTTCAGTGTGACTGTGAGTCATGCCTGTGCTGCTCAGGAGCCCCCTCCTCCCGGCAGGCAGGCCTGGGGGCGGTGGGGTGGACGCTGCCCTCTGCCCCTAGTCTCCCTGCTGTCAGAGCCTCCCTGGGGCTGCCTCCCCCTCAAATGGGAGGCCGCAGAGGGCTCTGGGGCTGGCCAGTGCGCCCCTTCCCACCAGATGCCTCGCCCCTACCTGAGAGCCCCGGTGGCTCCTCAGGCCTCTTCCCCCTTCCCACAGCTGGGTGGGGGTGGCTGGGGGCGGGTGCAGCTGGCTGAGGAGCCTGATGACTTCCTGCCCTCACCCGGTGCTCACCACAGCTTCCTGCTGCGGGTGGCGGGCCAGGCGGGTGTGGAGGAGAGGCAGGCGCTGAGCCGAGGGGCAGGGACGCCTGGGGCACAGGGACCACACAGGGTGACTGGTGCCCCAGACCACAGCCCGGGCCCTGGTCCACCCAGGACCAGGGTCTCAGAGCCGGCACCCAGCCCCACTCAGTCCAGCAAGGGGAGGTGGTCCCGGAGCCCCCGGGGAGGACACAGCTGCTCACCAGGACCCCCAGTGGGGGGCCCTCTTGGTCCCTACACACCGCTGCAGCTGAGCGAGAGGGGCCTGTGGGGCAGCCGGCCCGGCACAGGCGCCCTCCTGCAGATGGAGGTGGACGGCCTGACCCCCTATCCGCTGGGCCTCCTGCTGCTGCCCCTCCTGGCCATGCTGCTGATAGCCCTGTGTGTGCGTTGCCACGAGCCGCCCGGTGAGTGGGGAGCTGGCGGGGACCCCAAGGGAGGCCCTGACCCAGGCCCCAAGCCCCAGCCCTCTTCACCGTCCCCACCTCAGCTGCTCCCTGGGACTCAGGGCTCCCGGGCCCCCGCACCTGTCCCTCTGCACCCCTGCCCCATCTCACCTGGCTTGTCTCCCCCAGACTCCTACGACAGCGCTCCCGCAGACAGGTGAGTCGGTGCCGCCCTCCTTCCCCCTGCCCTGGGGCTGGGGCCGGGCCTCTCTCGGCCACTCACCCAGCTGTGTCTTTCCTGCCAGTTCAAACCCCACGAGCATCCTGATCAAACCTCCCTGTGAGTACAGAGGGTGCCCGCCTTGTAGTGCCGGGGAGGGGGTCCCCTGGCACAAGAGCCCACCTTGGGCTGCCCACATGGTTTTGCCCTGAGCTGTGATGGGAGGGGAGGGGACGGCCCCCAGGCACAGGGACTTCAGGAGCTGATTCAAGGCCTGGGGCCTGATGTCTGGAGTCCTTCCTTCCAACTCGGTTCTGTCCTCAGACACTCCAGTTCCCTGGCCACCTGCCGCCTCCTACCCACCTGTTATCTCCTGCCCACCTCCAAGCCAGCCAGACTTGCTCCCCATCCCGTGAGTACCCTTCGACGGCTCTTCCCTCTCCAGATCCCACCTCCTGCTCCCTCCCTTTCTCGCACTGGGGCCTCTTTTCCTTTTGCAACCCATCTTGCCTCCGAGCCTCTCCCAGGCATGACCCCTGACCTTTGACTCCCAGGAGATCCCCGCAGCCCCCTGTGGGTTCCCACCGGATGCCGCCTTCCCAACAGGATTCAGATGGTGGTAAGGGCAGAGAGGGGCTGTGGGGCGGGGGGCTCTGCAGCTGGGCAGAAGGCGGACCCAGCCTGAGCTGACCCTGTCTCCATCTTGTTCTCTCTGAAGCTAACAGTATGGCGAGCTACGAGAACCAGGGTGCGTCTGGGATCTCACGTCCCCGGGCTAGGTGGGGCAGCTGGCATCTGTCCCAGGTCATGCTGACCCCTGTGTCATTGTCCCCAGAGCCAGCCTGTGAGGACGCAGATGAAGATGATGATGAGGACGACTATCACAACCCGGGCTACCTGTGAGTGGCCAGGCGGGAGGTGGAGGTCGAGTGAGGCCAGACGTCCTCGCTCACCTTCCTCGCTCTCTCCTTGCAGGATGGTGCTTCCTGACAGCACCCCAGCCACTAGCACTGCTGCCCCCTCAGCTCCTGTGCCCAGTGACCCTGGCCTCCGTGACAGCACCTTCTCCAGTGAGTTCAGTATTTCTGTGTACCTCCTTTGCCCCATGTGCCACCTGACCTTCTTCTCTTCCCTCTCCTATTTCTTTAATGATGGCTCCCCTTCTGTTCTCTCATTCATATGTTGGACTTCCTGTTCCGATTTGACTTTCTTTTTTTTTTTTACCTTTTATCTCCCCTTTGCTCTCCCCTCTGTCTTTTTCCTGTGCAGTTGTTGTCTGGGAGATTTCCTGACTCTCTTCTTCAATCCTTCTACTACAACCTCCCATCCAAAGGTCTTTCCTGGACTCTGAGTGTTCTTTTTGTATAGCTTCCTGTTCTTGTTTCTTTTTCTTTTTTCTTGTACTGGGGATTGAATCCGGGGCCTCACCCATATTAGCAAGCACTAATAGAGGCCATAGCATCTTGCAAATCTCTAAGAATATTAACTAGAGGTGGTCTTTTTTTTTCTTTTTCTGGAGGTTTTCTTTTGTTTCCTGCATCGTCTCAGTTTCTTTTGAGCCACTTTTCTCCTTTCCTAGTCTCATTGAAGGGCTTTCTGTTCCTATCCCCTCTCTGGACTAGTTGAGTATCCCTCATCGGAAACACTTGGGACCAGAATGTTTCGGGTTTGGGAATATTTGCATATACCTAAGGTGGTATCTTGGGGATGGGACCCAAGTCAAAACATGAAATTTATTTATGTTTTAACATATACGTTGTATCCATAGCCTGAAAGTAATTTGATACAATACTTAAAACAACTGTACAAAAAACTAAGTTTCATGGTGTGGAATTTTCCACTTGTGGTATTGTGTTGGCTCCCAAAAGATTTTGGATTTTGGAGTTTTTTTAGATATTGGGTTTTTGGGTTAGGGATGCTCAGTCTATATGTGCTTGAACTGAGCTGTCTATTTGCCAATCAGATTTCCAATGTGCCACCTCTCTTCTGGGCTCCGGACTGTCTGTCCGAATGCTCTAATTTATTCACTCACTCTCTCCTTCATTCATTCACTTATCGAGCATGTCTGCTGGGCTAACATCAGGATGGACGAGTTAATGAGGCAGGCTGGGACGATAGAAGGACTATCACTAACTGAAGGCCTACTATGTGTCCTACGAAGAGTCGTATGTGTATAATGGCCGGATGCTCTAGTGTCTGTCCCTTCCCCTCCAGCCCATCAGTACCATGGCAGGGTTTATTTATTTGTTTTTCCTTATTTTGAGAAAACCTCCCTATGGTGTCCAGGCTGGCCTTGAATCCCTGGGTTCAAGCTATCCTCTTGCCTCGGCCTCCTGGGTAGCTGGACTCGGGGTGAACTGATTAGCAGCCATTAGGCAGGGCTTACTGCATGATGGGCCCCGTCCTATTACCTCTGCTTTAATCCCTACAACTCTGCGAGGCAAGTCCCTTCCTGATCCTGTTTCACAGTTGAGGAGACAGTGACAGAGAGGTGAGATAACTTATCTGAGGTCACACAACAGTTCCTTAGTGCTGGATCAAGGTTTGAACCTGGGCCGTCTGTCTGCAAGGTCACCTTGTCCACGTCCTCGTGGAGAAACAGGGCAGCACATGAGAGAATCAGACAGCATCGGGGGATAAGTGTCAGTTCTTCAGAACATTCCCTGCGTCCCTGTGCAACTGACTGGGGGTGGGTTGTACTGGGAGCCTCAGGGTGTCCCTGAGGCCCTGGACATCTGAATTGGGGGGCTCCAGGAATCTGTGACTGAAGGTGTCTAATGACAGCGGTGGGGGCGGGTGGGCCTCGATGGCTTCCCACAGTGGAAGATTACGTGAACGTTCCTGAGAGCGGCGAGAGCGCAGAGGCGTCTCTGGGTGAGTGACCGGGCTCTAGTCGCCCACCCTGTCCCCCTCCACCCGTGGAGCCCACCCACGGGCGCCCACTGCCCCCTCCCTGTCTGTCTGGGGCTCCTCCTGCCCTGCCCCCACTCCCTCAGTGTGACCTGGCCTCCCCTGGCGTGACCATCCCTCCTTCTGACCTGTCCCCACAGATGGGAGCCGGGAGTACGTGAATGTGTCCCAGGAGCTGGAGTCCGAGGCTCCAGTCAAGCCTGGTGTGTATGGGGGCAGGGGCGGGAGCAGGGGGTGGCTTTCAGGCTGGACACCAACCTCCCGTCCCGTCCAGTCCCAGCTCCCCTGAGCTCCCAGGAAGTGGGGGATGAAGAGGAAGAGGGGCTTCCGGACTATGAGAACCTGCAGGAGCTTAACTGACTGCCTGGTGAGTGGCCCTCGACTTCAGCACTGCCCTGGGCCGGTGACCCTCCCTCCAGGACCCTCTTGACCACCTCAGGCCTGTCCTTTCTGCTGTTGACCCTGCTGATGGCCCCGACCCCTGACCCACGGCCCCTCCGCCTCCCCGCCCTGTGTGTTTCAGCCAGGGTCACGTCTGTCCTGGATCCAGCCTTGCGGGCCGGCTGAGCTGGGCAGCTTGAAGTGGCTCGGGGGGCTCCACTTGGTACCCTGCCCTGACTCCAGCCGGACAACAGCCTGAGAATCCCCCCTAACTTATTGTCACTTTGGGGGCCAGTCTGTGTCCCCCCCAATACCCTGCACCTTCTGACGTAGCCTGAGAATGACCCCCCCCTGGTCCAGCCCCACCCTCTGTAACCAAATAAAGGCCACGTGGTCTGTGGCGCCCTTGACTCTGAGGCCCCAGGGGCTGGAGGCTGATGAGGTTGGGGTGCGCCAGGTCCTGCCTGTGTCTGCGCTGAGAACGTGGGAGGGCTCGCGTGCGTGTGCCTGCGTGTCGGGGAGCCGCAGAGACCTGCGTGTGCGTGTGGTGGGTCTCCGTCACCACAGGGTGAAGCGCCTGGCCTGGTCCTGGGAGTGACAGCAGACACTGCCCGGCACACGGCTGCCTTTGGAGTGAGGCTGAGACCCAGGACCCAGGTCGCATCTCCCCACGAGGTGGTCCATGCAAGTGCAGCGCTGTTGGCAGAGCCGCTGATGGTGGGGTCCCCCAGGGGCGGTGTGGATGTCAACCGTGAGACCCTCCCCAGGCACTCATCCTCTGTCCTTGTGACCAGGGGCTGGCCCTGATGACCTCGAGTGCTCTTAGTTCTCGGCCTGGGTGGTTCTCAGTAGATCAGAAACGGTGGCTGCGAGTCGGGTGGGTGTGGTGTGGGCGCCGGAGTCGGCTGCTCTGGAGGGAGCCTGGCTGGGAGGGAGGCAGGGCCCTGAGTGCCACCACAGCGAGACCTGGTCTCAAAAAAAAAAGTTCTAGGTGGCTGAAAAAGCTGGTGTGGGGCAGCCCGTTTCAGGTGGCTCCTGCAGGTCTGGCTCATGCCACCCCGACTCGGTGGCCTGGGCGGGGCCCGGGACTCTGCATCTCGCTGCAGCACCCAGGGGAGCTCCCTGGGCTGCATCTTGGACAGCAGGCTGTGACTCTGGTGCCCACCTGACTGGCATCCCCTGCCCCTTATTTTGGGAACATCCCCTTGGGCTCCCCTGGGCTCCCCTGCTTTCCCAGTCTCATTCCGGTTGATCTGGAGCTGGTTGAGCCAGCCTGCACCCCGGCAGGGGACCCCAGACATCCCCCTTGCCTCTGGCCACTGTGAGGGCTCAGGCAGAGGCACGGGAGCAGCCACGTGGCGAGGCACAGGCCTGGGGACGTGCTGGGAGGAGAAGCCTGTCCTTCGCAGCGCTCCTTCAACTGGAGGACAGAGTCCTGGGGCCACCTGGGAAGCCCACCTAGGACAGAGCCATCGGGAAGGAAAGAGTGTCCCAGAGACGGGCCGGCATGGCTTCCTGATCTAACCACACAGGGGCAGGACGACCCTCTCAGGTGTCCTGGTCACCTGGGCCAATAAATTACCGTTTGTCTTCAATCCGCTGACTTGGAGTCTCTGTCACTGCAGTCAAAGTTGCCCTGAGCCATGCAAAGTTGCCGGTTCTCTGTGGACTCTGGAGGTAGCAAGAACTTCTCCTCGTGGGGCACCTTCTCAATCACCGTGACTTCCCTATTGTCGGTTATGGTTAGTGCCCCCACTTCACAGGTGAGAAAACAGGTTCAGAGAGGTGAGGTGATCTGCCCAAAGGCACACAGCCGAAGAGGTAAATCTGCGATTAGATCTGTGGCCTCCAGAGTCACAACTGCCTGCTGCTCTAGTTCTGGTTACTGTGCAAAGTGCCAGCTGCCTGGGACATGGCAGAGCTCATGACCCCGAGCTCATGACACCGAGCTCATGACACCGAGCTGGAGACGGGGGGGAAGGAGACGGGGTTCAGTCAGACAGGAAGTAGAGTTAAATCCTTTTATTGGGAGGAACCAGAAATGGGCAGAGGCATCTGTGTGTCTGGGCAGAACAGTTTACCAACCGGGGATGCTGGACAAGCAGCCTGGAGGACAGTCGAGCAACGCCTGGGAGATCTGGAGGCGTGCGCGTCCCTTTCCCGGCAGACTCGGGTGGAGACCCTGGCTGACTGGCACCTGGGCTGAGGTGGCGGGGCCAGCAGCCACAGGGCCACCCTGCAGATTACAGGCCTGTGCACGGCTTCCAGCCACAGCTGGAAGCAGCCGACACCCGTTGCCAGACAACAGTCTGATAAGCTGGGTGAAGTCACATGGCAAATACTCACCAGCTGATAAAATGAGCCAGGCCTGTCAACGCAGATGGACATCACCAGCAGAATGTGGGGTGAGGTGGCCAAGCCAGCCACACACGTCCAGTTAAGAATGGGAAAAAGACCCAGTGGACTAGCCCTGATCCAAAATGCTTGGGACCGAAAGTATTTCAGACTCTGCAATATCTGCACTTATATAGGTATCTTGGAAATGAGGCCTGAGCCTAAAACGAAATTCATTTGTTTCATGTACACCTTATACTTATAGCCTGGGGACAGGGTCTTGCTAAAATGCTGAGGCTGGCCTCTAACTTGAGATCCTCCTGCCTCGGCCTCCCAAATAACTGGGATTACAGATGGGCACCACCATGCCCAGCTTATACAATATTTTTTAGTGTACTCACGTTTTGACAGCAATCTGTCATGTGAGGTCAGGTGTAGAATTCTGCACTGGCGACCTCACGTTGGTGGTCAAAATGTTTTGGATTTCAGGTTTCAGGTTTTTGAACGAGTGATGCTCAACCTGTACCTAGTTTGGGGCCACACATTCATAAAGGTATCCAGATGGGGTAGATAACTAAGATCAAGGCCCCAAGATGGAACAGGTCAGGGTAGGGGGATGTGGCCCAGATGGCTCTAGAAGACAGTGGACAGCAGGCCAAGCCTCCCTGGTGCTTTGTGCCAAGCGAACAAGCTGGCTGTGGTGCCCCAGGCCTTAGCAACAGCCTCCATAGAGGCCATGTGGTGTAGTGGAGACACTAAAATAAACCCCATGTGGTGAGGCTGGAGAAGACTAAGAGATGAGTGGACGGGGGTGGGGCTGAGCCCGTGTGGAGCCTCGATCCTGAGACCCAGGACGCGGGAGGCTTTGGAGCTGAGGAGGACATGATCAGGTCTGTGTTTTAGCAGAGATCTTTGGCTTGGTTGATGGGCAGAATCAATGGTGAGGCCAGTTAAGCGAGAGGCAGGGAGGCCATGAGGAGGCTGTTGGAGTCATCCCCGTGAGAAATGGTGGCGGGCTGGCCACAGAAGTGGCAGGGGCAGCAGAGAGAAGTGGTAGAATAAGAAGGTGTTTGAGAGGCACAATCCAGGGACCAGAAGGATGGGTTGGCTATGGGCTGGGGGACATGGGGAGAGCCAGGGCCACTCTGGTCCTTGCCTTGGGGACTGAGGGGTGTGGGTATTCCCTGAAGCACTGAGCAGGTTACATTTGTGTTTCTTGGAGTGAGCAAGGGGATGTGGCTTCGCTTCCACAGCCGGTGACCCAGGTGGGAAAGAGCAGTCGATGCAGTTGAGGTCTCCTGGGCTGGGGCTAGGATTTCTTAGCACATTGGAGAGGTCAGTGGGGAAGCCCCTACAGGAGCTGGGAGCAGAAACAGGTTTTTCTTGAATTCTAGCATTGGAGAAAAGGTAGATTTAGTAAGAGAGAGAATTTTCTGGAATTTCTAGAGAAGAAATCTGGATCCTTGTGATCCTCCTGCCTCAGCCTCCCAAGGGCTGGGATTACAGGCCTGTGCCACCGCCCCAGACGGCTTACTTTTTACCAGGGATTGAACTTGGAGCACAAGGCCACTGAGCCACATCCCAGCCCTATTTGTATTTTATTTAGAGACGGGGGCTCACTGAGTTGCTCAGCGCCTCGCTTTTGCTGAGGCTGGTTTTGAACTCACAATCTTCCCGCCTCAGCCTCCCCAGCTGCTGGCATTACAGGCATGCCCCCTGCCCTGACCTCTTACCTTTGATCTATATAATTGGTTTGATTGGTCGCAGAGATAAACAAGCACTAATTCCAAGCCTAGAGCTGTACTTGATAACAAGAGCTTTGAAATGTAAATCAGGAGACTAAACTTTTTGCCTCGACTCTGCCACTTGACCTTTGTGGGACTTTGAGGATATTTGATTTAAGTCTGTTCTGTGAGCGGGAGGGGGCAGGGGACATTGGGGCGGGAACCCAGGGCCTCATACCTGCCAGGCAAGCGCTCTCTCCCTGAGCCACATTCCCTGTCCTGGATTGAAGTTTCAGACCTTTCCATTCTGAGGTGCCCTAGCCCCAAAGAATGTCCTTGAAAGCAGAAGAGTAGGTTCTTACTGCTGAGAGGCGGAATGTCCAGGAGCAGCTGGAGTCAGAGGGCGAACTGGCACCTCCCATTGTCGGCTGGCTCAGATCTCTGCTCTCCTTTCTCTACGGAGTCCATTTCCGGTCTCTTCCCGTGTGTCCAGGAGACAGCGAGTCCAGGGTCCCCATCCCTCCAGGTTTCCATGGAGTGGGAGGGGCAAGATATTCATATTCCCGGCAAAGCCCCAAACTTATTCTGATTGGATGAGCTTGGGGCACTGGACTCCCCTGAACCAATCACTGGCCAGGGGAACACCACATGAGGTGGGTTTGGGCCCGCCCATGACCTAGAATCCACTCCCAACTCGGCCTGGACACAGGGGTGATGCTCAGAGGAAAATTCAGCACTATGCTGGTAGAAGGAGGGATGTCGGTGTGAGATGCATTTATTGCACGCTTACTGTATGCCATGCTCATTATTATTATATGGAGTCTCAGGATACCTGAGTGTGAGGTGGGAGGAGTCCATTCTGTAGACAAGAGAAAGAGCTCAGTGAGGTTGAATGATTTACTTAAGGTCACACAACAAATTCCGAAGCCTACTCTGAGGGGGAGAGGGGGAGGTTGTGCATTAGCTAGAAGTTGGTGGAACAGGAGAAAACGAGAAGGTAAGCCAAGGAGCCAGCCGTGGAGGGTCAGTTCTGCTTCCAACAGGGGACTTTGGCTAGAGCTCTTGGGAGTGAGACTTTCTTATTAAGCTGGGACCACTCAACAGGGAAGGCAGGGCCTGGAGCTGCCAGGGACCACAGTGAGCAGGGCAGTGGCCCCAGAGAAGGCAGCAAGAAGAGGAGCAGCGTTGAGAGGTGAGGGTGACAGGTTCCTGAGAGCACTGAGGTGCTGGATCCGCTGGTTCCTGAAGTCGGCTCCACCGGGGGACTGTGCAGTTACCTGGGAGAACAACGAACGCCCCTCTCTGCCTTGGCTCAGCTTCAGCTGGGTTTCTCTCATTTGCAAATGAAAGAGTTGACTCAGAGACAGGATGCTGTGGGAGCCTCGGCCTCACCAACAAGGGCCCCATCTTCAGACACCTGCCACATGCCATGCGGTGGCACTCTGCCTACGTTCAGTCCACCCTGGACCCTTGAAGCGGTTCTTCTCTTGCTACCCTTGTACAAAGGAGGAGACTGAGGTTCAGAGAGAACAGGTTGCCAGACCAAGCGGGGACTGTCGCTGTCCCTCCAAGCAGCCCAGGGCCACCCTGTTCTGAATCCCTCCTTCCCTGCCCCCACCCCGATGGGCACCAGGCCCCAGGCCCTGCTCTTCCTCGGTCCCTGAGAGTGGTGGGCAGCTGAGGTCACTAGAGCAAACCTCCCCTGCTGGACTCCTCCCTGGGGCTGCAGGCTCCCCAACTGTCCTCAAGGACACCAGAGTGATGTGAGCCCGGTGGCATACATGCTTGGAGCATCTGGTCTACCCCCAGGTCCCCACCCTGGCCCCCTTCCCTTCCTGTCTGCCTCTTCCTGGTATTGGGCAGGGGTCTGCTATTCCTCGCCTCTCGCACTGGGCTGGGAAGCTTCCAACTTTCTTTCTGTTTCAGGTCCCCTTTGCAATCCCTGCACCCCCAACGCCCCCCCCCCAAGCAACTGCAGCCTTCACTGGGCCTCATCCTTGGTCTCCCACCTCTGCCTCCCTGTCCCTCTGTCTGTGTGTATCTCAGGGTCGCCCCTCCCCTTTCTGCCTCTCCCTCCGTCTGTCTCTCTGTCTTGTCCTTTGTCTGTCTCTCTGTCTGCTTCCCACTCTGCCCAGCATGCTGCGTCTGCTTGTGTGTCTGTCCCTGTGCCTCTGTCCCTGCCCCTCTGTCCTGGATGCCCATCTCTCTCTCTGTCACCCTCTGATCTTTCTCTTGCTCAGTCTCCCTCCTCCTCTCCCTGCCCCTCCCTCCCCACATCCTGAGTTGTCTTTGGGGAACCGGAAATTTGGGGGATCAGAGAGATACCGGGAGGCTCAGCTGCTGCCGCTCAGAGATAATGTGTTGGGGGGTGGCTAGGTGGGGGAGGGGTGGAGCCCAGAATCCCCTGCGTCTTCCTTCCAGCCGGGGTCTGCAGGGACAGCCGGAGACACTGGCCTCCTCTGCCGGCTCCTTCTCCCCTGAGTGGGGCTTGATCCCTGTGGGGTCCCTGTGAGAATTGCATCAAGTATCTTACGAGA